AATTTAAAACATCTACTCTCCTAATCGGATCATCTAATGGTCGACGTTTAATATGACCAAACCATCTAAGACGACTTTCTCTAATTTTGTCTGTCACAGGAGCTACACCAACCCTATCACGAATATATTCATTTCGCATTTTGTCTCTAAGTGTAAAGCCACTCATCCACCTAATCATTCTCATCTCGGCAACACTTAACTTATTATTATGCTTCTCTTTTAAAGGCCAACATTCAACACCATAGAGAATTGCCGGTCTCACCACCGTCTTATAAAATTTTCCTTTCAGTCTTAGCGGTACTTTTCAATCACACAAAATGCCCGAAGCATTCCTCCACTTCAACCAACCAACTTGAATTCTACTATTAACATCCCCATCTATATCACCATCGCTTTGGACAACGGACCCAAGATATCTAAATCGTTCACACCTTTTAATAATTTGATCACCCAAAGTCACACTTCTGTCACTAGAGCTATTACTACTAAAATTAAATTCACACTTCTGTCAACTTCTTTTAAAGTTGATTCTCATATCAAATTTTTTAGATCAAAGCGGATAATACTAGAAGACTATTGGAGCGATCAAACCATTAATGATGTCATATAAAGATCAAGAACCTGACAAAGAGCCATAAAAGAAAAATTTTTATTTGTAGCAACTAAGTATGAATTTGTCTTTTTAAACTTATCCAAACTTGTGTTTGAACTTGTAATCCAATATTATGATAATTCTAGCTGAAAATATTATTTAATTTGAAATTTATTATTTATATTGAACTTATCTAATTGGTTATTTTCAGATAGGATTTTGTTATTTTAGGAGAAGTTTGTTTAGAAATGGGTTAGAGCATTCCCTATTGTAATTGCTTATTTAAAAGTTTGAAATGCAACAAAAAAAATCAATCACAATTCTCCTAACTAATCTTCCCTTCCCACTCCTCTCTACCGTTTTGCCTAGCACATAGAGCTCAATTGAATCCCTGAAGCAACCCCGTCTCCATTGCCTTACATAGTTGCTCCATTGATTTTGTCATTTTTAGATTGTTGGCTTGCTAAAGATGTTGTCACTGTCGTATAGTCTTTGTGGTTCACTTTTATCATCTAACCAATTGTTATTGCTTTCATGGTGCATTTCTTCTATGAATTCCAAGGTTGTCGTAACACTGAAGAACAAAAGAAAAGCCAGTTGTTTGTTGTTTTCACATAAAAGAGCAAATTTGAAGCCAAGATATAGTAGTAGAAAAACTAATTTAAGAAGCTCTATGAATCATTTTGGTATCAGAGATCCAATCCTTAGTGCAAGCTAAAAAATAATAAAAGGGTATAAATGCTCCTCTTCTTGCCATGAAGATTATTGTCTAAAGTTATGCATTATAGGTGTGCCTCAATGCTTTTTTGGCTTTATCACCACGAGGTGTTCACCTCATGACCTCACATCTAACATAGATGCCTTACATTATGTGAGGTAAGCCATAAGGCAAGCCTCAGCTCAATATTTACGAGGTGCGCACTTAAACGATTTAGAGCTTGGTAGATTTCTTAATGAATAAATATAAATGATATATATCAAGTAAAAACCCTATTAATCAATTTCATTCTCCCTCACGTCTTATGCACACCCAAGCCCTTTTTGCTCTCGATCTCACACA